CCAGTCTGGGAGCCCTCAGAGGCAGAAGGCAATCAGGGGAAGGTGACACTCCCTCACACCTCTGCTGCTGCCACTGCTGGCAGCACAAGCTTCAGCCAGCCCTCGTTACCTGGGCCTTGGGTGGCCCTGGGTGGCTGGGCAGCCGACACCTGAATCCTGCCTGTGCCTCAGGCCGGTGCTAGGCAGCTGGGAGGCTGAGGGAACTGGAGGACTCTGGAGGCAGGCGCACAGAGTGGATAGGCCTGCCTAGGGGCAGGCCGGACCTTGTCAAATGCCTGCCACCCTGATGGGGTTGAGGGGACTGGGCACTACTATCTTGTGGCTGTGGGCACCACCATCTTTGAGGGCATGGTAGTCAATTAGCATATTCCCTCCTTATTGGCTGTGGGTGCCACCATCTTTGAGGGCAGGGCAGGCAATTAGGATATTCCCTCCTTATTGGCTGTGGGAGCTGCCATCTTTGTGAAGGCATGAGGGTCAATTAGCATAATTCCCTCTTTATTAGACAGGATTAAAATGAAAATGAATATATGGCATATTATGACTCCTTAGATTTCACATGTAAATTTATGCATAGTGATACCTATTTAATTTACATTTGAAAATCTAGTTATAACATATGATGCTTTAGATTAGGAAAAAGAAGCAAAACACAGATCTATAGATTTTCTTGGTATACTTATAACCAAGAAAGGATACATAGAGTGTTATTATTTCTTGGGAATATTTTTTAATCATTTGATTGGTTATAGATGTATTAAAGAGATAATAGCTGAGTTGTACATATATAACTGCTCCTATGTGTCTTCTTCCCTCTTTCCAGAACACGTGTTTTCCTAAGGATCTTGTTAATACATCAGAACTGTTTAAATGCTGCTTTCTCAGTGAGCCTTCCTTAACCAACACTGTCCAAATAGGTCCTTCCCTACTTTCCTCTATCCTTATGCCATGTTATTTGCCTTATGAACACTTCATATTTTCAATTAATCTAAAATCCTATGTATAAGTTACATCATTTAGCTCCTGGCTATCAACTCCTCACATCCCAGTTTCTATGACTCTCCGCTGTGCTCACATCTTCTCAGCAATTCCCTTGATGGTCCCAGGGTGCACACGGGAGGTTCTCCTCCAGAGCACAGCTGCACAGTTCGCTCCTACGTTTCATCAGGTCTCTTCAATGTCACCAGCCCAGAGGGCCTTCCTTGACTATCATACTTCAATCAGCAGCCCCCACTACTCTCTCGGATGCAGTCTTATTTTTCCCACTGGCAAGTATGGTTGTATATGTATGGGTTCAATGTGCAACTTCTTCATTAGCATGTACACTCCATTAGAACTTTATCTGCTTTGTTCTTTAGTACTACCACATTGCTTAAAACTGTGCTTGCCATAGGCTGTCACTCAACACTTATTTGTTGAATTAATTAATTCCTTACTTATTATTTGTTTCTCCCACTAGACTCTTAAGGGCCATAAAAGCAGGAACATTGTTTCTGATATTCCTATAGCATCTTGTATAGATTAAGTTATAAATAAATGATGAATGGTTTGCTTATGTGTGCATTTGTGTGTGTGTGTGTGTGTGTGTGTGTGTGTGTGTGTTTAATCTTTCTCTCTGGGTGGATTCTAATTACAACAAAGATGAATTATGTCTGTTTAGCTCACCATGCATGCCAATCCCATAGTGGGGTCTCACACATAGTAGACATACAATAAATAAATGAAAAGTCATCAGGACTGGGACCAGAATGAATAGGAACCTATTGTGCCAATAGCTACCCAGAGGCCTCCACCAAGTTACTATGAGGTGTTAATAGCAGGTGGAAAAGAGTCTAGAACATGCACAGATAAGTGAAGACCTTAAACTGTCCTTTCAGGGACCAGCCTGGTCCTAGCAAAGGCTTGCTTCCCAGACAAGACCCAAGAAGCTACATACTCTGAGTGTCTTCCTTTCAGATACTTTTATATTCTGGGAGGAGTAAATCTTAATTTCAATCCATAGCTTTGATCAGTTTGCTTAAAACTTTTGCTATGAAGATTCCAGATAAATCAATTTATGGTGCCAAAGGGCATCAAATAAGAAAGAAAGAAAAATTAGATTGTAACGTAAAGTCTGCCAGTACCTAGAATAGTATCCTGTCCTTTCTTGCATGTTTTTCATTTGAAAAAATGAAGATGATAAAAAAGAACTGGCTCTGAAATTATGGACATGGATTCCGGTTTGCTGAGGTATCCTTGGAGATTTTGTCAAACATCTTCCTCCCTCTCCCTTTGCCCACCAGCTACAATCCCCCATGGCTAATAATCACAGCCTCGGTGAGCTATGGTAACTGATAGTAATTGTCAAGCATGTAGGGAAAAAACAAAACGTTAAACTGCCAGCCTATGTTCTCCCTGCCATCCTTTCCAGGGCCAAAATGTTGTGAATCTATAAACGGTGCTTCAGTTCACTACCAAATCCCTATGTTTAACAGTGATTAAGTTACTGCAGTCCTTCGTTCACTTAGACTAATGTGTGATTTTTCTACTGTGATCAGGGACAAGGTCAGACACTAAGAACACAAAGATGAGTTTAGAAATGGTCTCTTCCTTGAAGGAGCTCTCTTCAATGAGGAGCAAGATGCAACAGCCTGAGAAATGTTTTGATGGAGCCAAAGCAGCAGGTGACTTCAGCGCACATCAAAGGACATCAAAACAACCTGGGCAACTGGGGTGAGCTTGAAAAGTCTTCCAGTGGGTGACCAGAAACTGAGTCCCAATGTTAATGAATCAAATTAAAGCTGCACAGTGTCAGAATCATCGCAGCCAAACTCCTTATGTTGCGCAGTGGAAACCTGATGCCCGGAGAGGCTGACTAACTCATCCAAAGTATCAGAGTTACAACTATAATAGTATTTGGCTTCCCTCTTTTAAGAGTCTTTCTTTCTTTCTTTCTTTCTTTCTTTCTTTCTTTCTTTCTTTCTTTCAGAATTCCTTATTTCATCAGTTTAATGATGAAATTAGTTGATTAATTATATTTTAATGACAGAGATAAAAATACTTTTATATAACGGTTTCATGCACAGCAATCCTACCAATAGCCCATCATCCGTAAATTATAGACTTTGCACTGAGCTGTTGGTGAATTAATTTATTCAGCTGCAACCACTGTCTCTCCCAGATTGCCTCTTGAGCTGCTTTCTGCATGAAACTAATCACACTGGGAAGGACAGGGACAGCCTGGCTGTGAACAAGAACAAACTTTAAGGAGAGATCTTGGTCCGATTGCATTTCCTCTCCACAACTGAGGGAGGCATCTAAAGGCTAAGGTAAAACCGAAAAGTGAAACATTTTCAGTAGTATGTAGTAGTATATAAATTGCTCAGGTATACAATTTTCTTGGAATTTTTCTTTTTTCTCCTTCTGTAGTCGATTTACTTGAGCTATTTAAAGACTGATTAAGTAATGAGACTATATAAGAGCTCATTACATTAAAACAGAAATACTTAGAAAATACATAATTTCTCGTAGCTTGCCATCTGTGTGGCTCTTAGTGGCAATGGATTTATCCTGCTTAGTGCAGATGATTATATTGGAGTGAAATCATGGGTTATACAATGGATTTCTGAGTTCTTTTACTACTGTTATTAATTTACAAGTTTGCAAATTAACATTTCCCAAAAATAAAAATAAAAAATTTTCAACTTTTAGCCCCCAAGCCAAGTTGCTATGGGCACCAAATAAGATCTGTTCTGGCGCCAACAGATTGCCCTAACGTCACCCACAATCTCTCCAAATTAAAAACCTCCCTGGCTTTTCCACTGTACTCGCAGCAGGATGCTCTTTTTGCCTTGTCCCACAGTCCAGTTTAAGCCGCTACAAAGAATATTTTCAGAGGCACATCAAACTCAATCATTTTCCCTCTGAACACACCATTTCCAAACGGCCACCCAGGGTCCTAAGCCCGGCTTCTGCGGAGGGGGACAGGCAGGTGTCCTCCTCTGCAGGGTCGCCGGTCTGGGGCGCCTTCACAACCGGACAGGGGACGCCAGCAGGAAAACCCAGCCTCGGTGACAGGTATCACCCCTCCCGGGTGCAGCAGAGAAGCCCGATCCGAGCGGCTGCCTTTCCCCTCAGGCTTGAGGAGGACTTGGAGAGAAAGCAAACACCGCTTCCCCATCAAATCAGGGCGCCCAGGGTGGGTGGCAGGTCAGAAGTTGAATTTCCATCCCATCTGCGCTGCGTCCTGGCGCATCCCGCAGCCCGGGCACGGCGGCGGGCGGATCCGGGTGGGAGAGGACCGGGCTGGCGGGGCAGGGGAAACTGAGGGCTGCCGCTGCCGCGGCCGGGGAGCACCGGGCGGCGGGGCAGATGCGCCCCCCTCCACCTCCGGAGCCAGGAATAAGCGGACTCGGCTGCAGGGACGATGCGCCCCCGGCCAGGGGACCGCGCTGCCCAAGCTCCGATTGCCCTTTTGGCCCAGAAACTCCCGCCGCAGCAGCCCCGCGCCCGGGCACCGCTGCTCCGGGGAAGCTGCCCGGGCACCGGGAGCCGGACCTTCCATCGCCCCGGGCGCAGGGACAAACTTCCTCCTCCCGGGTCCCCCCGGCCGCGCTCTCCGGGTCCCGGGCTGCAGGCGCCCCTGCCCGCCGGGCACCGCACGGAGAGCCGCCCCCGGCGCCTCCGCAGCCCCGAGCCCCGAGCCCCGAGCCCCGGGCGCCGCGCATCCCGCAGCCGCTCCGACAAAGCCGGGCCCGCGGCGCCCGGGCGAGGGGCTGGGGGCGGCGGCGCGGGCTCCGGGGCCGGGGGGCGCCCCTCGGCCGGCCCGGCGGGGCGCGGCGGGCAGGGGAACGGGGAGAAAGTCTCCCGCTCCCGGCGCGATCGCCTCGCCTTCTCCGCCGTCCTCGCTCGCTCGCTCTGCTCCCCCCGCCGAGCCGGTCCGCCCGTCCCGGCGGCAGTCGGCGGGGACCTGGGCGCGGGCGGAGGGGAGGCGGGGGCCTGGCGGCGGGTCGCCCCCTTACCTCGGTCCAGGGTGAGCGGCTGGACCGCTGTCAGGGTCGCCATGTCTGCGGTGCGAACCCAAGTGACGCTCGGCTCCGGCGGCAGCAGCAGCGGTAGCAGCAGCCGTTTTTAGTGAGAAAAAGAGGAGGAGATTGGGGGCGGGGGTGGGGAGGGAAGCCGGAGAGGAAGGGAAGGAGGGGAGGGGGAAGGAGGGGAGGTGGCGGCGGTGGAGGAGAAGGAAGCTTGGGTGGGTTGGCAGCCAGATGGAGACACAACTGTCGGGCTGCGGACAGACCTTCAGGCTCCGCGAGAGGCGGAGCAGGTACCAGCTCCTGTGCCGCCGGCTCCGGGAGGAGGGCTCAGCCGGGGAACTTCGGGGTGCCAGCCCAGGGAGCTCACAGGGGTGCAGCTGGGGTGCTGCTTTCTTTCAACTTTCCAGTGAGATGAGGTGGTCAGAGGATGCGTGCCCCAGGGGGGAGGGAGAAGGGTGGAGAGGGATGGGGGCAGGGAGGTAGAGAGGTGATTTTTTATTTTTATTTTTTTTTTCCAGATGAAGAGTATTTGTCAAACCTGTAATCCCATCCCCTGGGGAGAAAATGCTTCTAGTTCAGAAATGTTGGGATCTGTATGTAGTTGCTGTTAATTTCTGTTATTTTTTTATTTATTTATTTATTTTTGGAATGTTGGCTTATAACAGCATCAAGATAACGGACTTAAGGCCAGGGTTCTATCACTATGTCTTCATGGAAGGCCTGAGTGTATTGCCTAGAAAAGAACTTATCTTAAAAGCAAACTTCTTAAAAATGGTTTTAAATAAAAAATAAAAAACAACACCTAGAGAAGTTCCATGACTAAGTTTGTAAAACATGTCTTTAGCAGGTTTCCAGGTTGATCTATGTAGCCAGGGGCTATTCAGTTGTCATTTACGAACATGTATGTCAGGAACAGAGCTAGGAGTGTTACGTGCCATGTGCCCTGGCCTGACTTAGGAATTGAATACAGTTCCTACTTTCCTGTGGCTTATGATCTAGTGGGATGGGATGTTATTGAAAGGGTGAATTAGAGTTGATCAGAATTCAATTGCTAAAACCTTCAGGTACTGGCTATGACTGCTTCAACTGCTTTCACTATATTGCCACCACAGGGACTCATTTCCTGGTAAAGAAATCAGTGTATAGAAATCTTATATAAGCATAATGGTGATGGCCCTGGGTTTAGGATTGGAAAGGACAAAGCTGCCTCCATTCCCTTCCCTAGAACAGAGCAGAATTGTTTTTGGCCAGCAATATGTTCTGTTTTAAAGCAAAATATTTGTATATGATCCATATCATTGTCTTCTAATGACAAAAATGGATGATTTATGAAGATCTTTTGCATCCATGGCCTACATTTTTATTTATTTTACTTATTTTAATATATTTTTATTGATTTCAGAGAGGAAGAGAAAGATAGAACACCATTGATGACAGAGAATCATTGATCAGTTGCCTCCTGTACACCCTCTATGGGGATTGAGCCCACAAGCCAGGCATGTGCCCTGGGAATTGAACCATCATCTTCTGGTTCATAGACTGATGCTCAACTGCTGAGCCACACTGGCTAGGACATTGGTCTACATTTTTTTAAAAAGGAAACAAGACTTCACCAATGATTTGAGAAAGTAAAAAATGGCCATACATCCAACAGACCCTAAAAACATCCCTGAAATAGTTCCATGTGCCTACATTTTCACTGAGTGTTTTAGAAAGAATGTGATCTTGAAATTCAAGTCTTAGCTATCTCTTCTCTAGAAATCACATGACTCCTCACTGATCCCCAGTTTCCTCATCTGTCAAACATGGGAATAACCTTCACTCTCACTGAGAGTCTGTAAAAGAGGAAACTAATTCTGCCTTTCAATCTTGCTGAGCTTTGTGAGGGTCTGCATGTGCTTTGAAAGAGTAAGGCATATATAAATTTATACATACAGCAAACACACGTCCCACCTGAACTGTGTGGCAAGCACTCTGCTAGGCCCTAGCCTTGCAGAGATTAATGAGATGTCGCCCTGTCCCTGGACAGGGCTGGGTCCAGGCTGGGAGACAAATGAGCAAGCTATGCATGCAGCCAGGGCTCTAAGCATCACAGAAAGGAAGCACTATGGGACTGAGGAAGAAGCAACAATTCTGCTTGATTTTCATTATTCACATCCCCTAAATCAAACAGCAGAGAGAAGTTGAGTTGTGCACAATAAAAGCATAGTATGCGCCAAGGCCTTGCACGAAATGTCAACCCTCATTCAATAATTGAGGATGAAAAGAACACACAAATCCCCTGGCTACTAATGAAGGTCTTTAAGAACATACTTTATTATGAATACATATTTGAGCAGCTTCATTCATAACTCTAAAAGCCATAATTGTTCCTATTTCAACACAAATCTGAGATTGTAAGGCCCATGATGGATTTTTATCTTCATTTTCTAAGGTCTCCCCAACACCAAACATTTAATAGTATGTTTCTAGACTTATGCCTTGAGCTCCCTAATTGAAAATTTGTTCTATCATTCTTACTGCATTGACAATGTAGGGTTTTTGTAGAGACTGAAAGGGAAAGCAAGAGGAAGCATGAATAACCATACATTAATTGGTTGTTATTTCTAATAGTGAGAACTTCAATGCCTTTAGCTGGTGCCTATGCAGGTATAGAAAATGAGTAATAATCATTATCTGTTAGGATTTATTTTTTAATGAAGAGTGAATAACTAACTACTATCTCTCCAATAACATAATATGTGAATTTCTATTTAAGACATCACAAGAAAATTCCTATAATCTCTTCTTTTGCTTGGGTAGATATGACCATACTTAGGTCTCTTGAATAATTGCTTGGACCACTCCTGTGCCACCCATAGTGTCTCAAGGTCAATGTACTTGATCTATTCATATTTATGCTGCTCTGTTTGTGTATTAATCATGGAATTGTTAAAACATACATGATTATACTTTTAGCTATTTGGTTATGCAATCATTAATTACTATTTTTCATTAGTAATTTAGTTCATTGGCACCTGTGTTTTTAATGGAATTCATTCATTCAAAATATACCTATTAAGCACTTTATATGTACCAGGCATCATGCTAGGCTGTTTTCTCTTTCCTCCTCTTTTCAACCCAGAAAAAGTAGTGTTGTTATTTCATTTTATAGATAAGCAAAACTGAGACTCAGAGGTTAAGCAGTTTAGCTCAGAGGTTAAGTAACCCCTGTTTAATAGTGTCTATGATGTTCATTAAGAAAAAGACTTTAGCCCAGCCAGGTGTAGTCAGTGGCTGAGTATTGACCCGGGAACTAGGAGGTCACCAGTTCAATTCCCGGTCAGGGCACAACATGCCCGGGTTTCGGGCTCTATCCCCAATGGAGAGCATGCAAGAAGCAGCCGATCAATGATTTTCTCCTGTCACTGATGTTTCTCTCTCTCTCTCTCCCTCTCCCTTCCTCTCTGACATCAATAAAAATATATTTTAAAAAGAAAGAACAAGACTTTGGCCTGGCCCAAGTGGTTCAGGGGATTGAGCATCACCCTCTGTCCTCCACACTGAGAGGTTGCTGCTGCCCAGGTTGCAGGCTAGATCTCCAGCGGGAGGTGGACAGGTAGGCGGCATCTGAGTCACTTTTCTATCTTTTTCTCTCTCCCTTGACCTCCCTCTCTCTTTAAAGTCAATGAAAATACATTTAAAAATAATAATAAAAATTAAAAAAAACCTTTATTTTGTACTTTTGAAGATTTCCTGATTTCAGCATTGTATTTCAGAGTTTCTTTCTCTTTTGTTATGTCTGAGATATATTTAAAAGAGGGAGAATGCATATAGGAAATTTAAGCTAAAGTAAAAAAAAAACCTATGATACAGGTTTTATTTTATATAGGTTAATATTAAAATTACTATCTACTTCGAAATATAAAATCTCTTGTTTTTAAAAAAGCATTCAAAGCTACATTAAGGTCCTTTTTTACTTCACTGAATCTTTTTTAATTATATGTGACAAAATCAAGAGGTTTGCATAAAATGCTAGCATACCAAAAAGATGCGTTTAGTTAGATTATAAATGGAGTGTAACAAGCACAGTTACATATGAGGAAAATAACACCTTCAAACTGGAATTCTTTCAGTCTTTGGTGTTAGAAATTATTTTTGACTGATTCAAAATATCACGTTGTCTTCCTTACCAGTAATTCTCACAGCTTTGTCAAAATAACACTAGATTAAGCTGAAGTGCCAACCTATACTTTGGAACACAAATGGATATATAGGTGGTTATTTTTTAAACCATTACCTATAGAGAATTTTACTATATTTACTTTATCCTTAGGTTTGTTTGATAACTATTTTTTTCCTGCTCATTCAACAAATACTTAATGTACTTACCATCTATGCACTGTTTTAGGCACTGGGATTTCAGTGAACAAGAAAAAGGCCCTGATTGTGCTGGGGTGAAAGAGACGGTAAACAAAGTAATAAACAAACAATAAAGAGAGTAATGAGTGAGGAAGTACTATGCAAAGAATGAACAATTTGGGATTTGAATTGGGTCTAGAATAATGTCAGAAACACAAAAGACAGAGCTAAGGAGAAGGGCATACCCAGGAGTAGGAGAATAAAGCCAGGGACAGGAGAGCAGGCATGTTGCATGTTGCAAGTTTGAGTAGTTAAATTTGGAGTATAAGGGGGAAAAAACAAAAAAACCTAAGGGCGGACATTGAGAGTCAGATTATAATAGTATAATTAATAGAAATAGAATGAACTTGTTCCTTAATAACTTTGTGTCTACCATAGAAGGAAATGTACAAGTACAATCTGGTTTGAGAGGAAAAAAACAAAAAAACTGTTGCAGCATCTGCATTAAAAATTACTAACAGAATAAAATGAGGAGTTACTAATTCAGAGTTGGATTAGAAAATTGAAGATGAAATGTAAATATTAACTGCAAATTCTAATTACTTTTACTTCTTTCAAAAGAAATAGAAAAGAGCCTTGAGAGAAGAAAATCTGTCATCTGAATAATTCCTCAGTTGTAGGGTTTTATTTGCATTATTTTATACTAGAGGCTCGGTGCATGAAAATTCATGCACAGGGGGGGTTCCCTCAGCTGGGACTGCCCCCTGTCACAGTCCAGGAGCCCTCAGGGGCGAGAGGTGACCCGGCAATCAGGGGAAGGTGACGCCCCATCACACCTCTGCTGCTGCCACTGCCAGGAGCACAAACTGTGGCAGGTCCTGGTTACCTGAGCATCAGGTGGCCCATTTATATACATATAAATGTATATGTGTTAAAGGTATAGAGGAAAGAAGGAAAGTCTGGATTCTGTGAAGGCTTGCTGGAGGCCCTTTACATTCACTTCCAGGAGAAACTTGGAGATATTTCTTTCCTGTATGTAGATTATAAAATATTAAACCTTTGAGCAGAAAGCCACTCTTTTGCAATTTTGAATTAAAAGATTGCTAACTGGTGAACCAGAATCTTCAAAGACATTTCGTGAAAAACTAAAGAAAAATGAGGGATATGATCATTATAATTAAGTATCTGTTTTGCTATTACCTTGACCTTGGGAAAAATCACATTGCTCATTTGGGACTTTAGCTTCATTTACAATATGGATTAAGTGGCTTTTTTTCTTAAATCACCTCAATTCCTGACTTTATATTTTTAATCCAGCTAAACTTATTTATTTATAATTCTAGTACTATGAAAATGATTAAGGATATTCAGCAGAAATAGATGAAA